AAAGTACCTATATTTAACGTCGGTATTTCCTTCAAATTCAACTGCTATCAATGGAAGTCGCAGTGCACACTTCATCCATTTATGCTCTTACTATTTTTATAGTGTATGGCAAGTTGTAAACAATTTATTATTTTCTAGATGTCCAACAGCGTGTATTTAGTATCAATAACATAAATATTACATGGTTATTGAGTATGACCGTGTTTGACGGACCAGATAAAATATTCATAAAATAGCTGATATTCGGTCTCTTCTTGCCGTGATTCACTTGTCCTGATGAAGATGAAGCTTGGATTTCTTTTTTTCATCCTTGTGCAGCTTAGTATATTTTCTTCAAGCGGTAAGGAAACTGTTTTAGTATTCTAAAGAAACAAGATAACAAACTTAGAAGGGTATATCTGAATTATGTTTAGTTTATTTCCGGTTGATTCATTCGCTTATTGCGTCAGAAAATGGAAGCGACGGAAGCTTGTAGCAAATAAATGGGTAAAGCGCTCTGAGAAGATGCTATAAGTTGCCAATCGTATTTGCATTATTTGACTTCATGGTTACAGAAATTAGAAATTGCTTCATTCAAGAACTTACATCTCTGAACTTACATGAAAATGTACCTCTGTTAAGTAGACCCCTTATTAAGCTGGTATTAACTACGATTTTTCCCCAACCCGCGTATTTACTGTAAAACCGAACATGGCGGACACCTAACAAGTCGCAAGAATGTCCACTTCTTGATAGAGGTACCACTGTATTTGGTGCATACCAGCTAGATAGAACGTTTTGCCTTGAGTGTCACGCAAATCTCGTCATGAAACTCAGAAATAACAGATAGCGTTGTCGGACCTTGTCGGTCGGAGATCTGCAAACTTTAAAATCATAGTATAGAATATGAGAAATTGTGGATTGTGAGCTRTAAATTTATCAAATATGAAGCAAAGGAAAGTGTTAATTGTTTTGTCTTTTAATTCAGACGTTCGCAACATGTACCTTAATATGACACCATTTTTGAGCGATGACCTGGGCTGGCGAATTCTCTCAAATTTTGATAATGCTGATCATTGAAACAAATCCTAAAGTGATGTTAACATTTTTTTATTTACTACTGACTTAATTAATCGATGTATTTACAGAGGCACTCACTTGGACGATTAAGCCAGCCTCGGCTACCGGGATTCAAGGCCAAAGTGTCAGCATCACTTGGACTGCAGATCTAGATGGAGGTGAAACATGGGAGCATGTTAGAGTGAACCAGGAAGTAGGTGGCTCAAANTATAATTGTAGGTGGTATTTTCCATCAAACATTTTGAAATGATTTGAATGATGCATCTTTGATATCTCTGAGATGCATCACTCAAATCATATATGCTAATAAAAATATTTTACCATTCAACTATTTACTTCATGTAGAATCTATGCTGAAAATATTGAATTAGCTGTCATTAGCACTTTAAGTTTAACTAAATGTTGTATGTCAAGTACCAAAAAGATTTCACTTCACATCGATAGGCAAAAATAAAGTACCTATATTTAACGTCGGTATTTCCTTCAAATTCAACTGCTATCAATGCAAGTCGACAGTGCGCACTTTACCCCCTTTTCTGCATAAATGCTTTGTTTTACTCAATGCAAAGGTTGCACAGAATAGACTGAGCCGGAGAAGTCGAAACAGACGTGGCGATGCTGATGATCTAACTAATACATAGTTATTTTATCCCTGCCATAGGTCTACGTGTCCTAATTGTATAGTTTTATACAGTTGTTCTCTTGGAGAGCATATCGGTCCTTCTTCTTCTTGCTCATAGGTTATTTTCTTTAATTGTCACTGCACTTTTAACAGCCATAGATTGGCTGCAGAAAAATTAACTTTTTACGAGGAAAAGCTGCTATGGTTAATAACATGCGAATAAAAAACAAAACTGCTAGATATCACATTTGAACTTATAATTGAGTAGTATTAGCTCTTGAAGTCATATAACTAGAACATCATAACATTATTCTGCCACCATTGCTCTGAATGTAGAACCCTATTTCCCCTTTTGTTTTCACAGACAACAGCATACTACAAGTAAAAGTGCCACAGCAAGAAAGTGGTTGTTAAAAATAGTGATCCAGATGGCGGAATCAAATAATGTATTTTTTCATTGTTATTGTTTTGATATCCGACGTTTCAGTAAACTGAGGATATAATTAATAAATTCAATTGTAACGTTGTGTTAAGAGGGATTTCATTTTTCTCACTTATTCTTTTCCAGATATTCGACATAAAACGTCCACTGGTTTGAGTTAAGTGTTAGACATATATGAGGTAAAAACAGCTATGTTATCTTGAATTTTGAACCTTTACTATCCGGTGAATTCCTGCCCTGTCATACATTCAAGGCTACGTACGATTTTTTTTATTTTAAAAAATTCGTTCATCCATGTGTGCTTCTTGTAGTGYTATGGAAATTTGTCAACATTTCAACAATTCATTATTTTCTAGATGTCCAACGGCGTATATTTCTTATCAATAATGATATTACATGGTTATTGAGCATGACCGTGTTTGACAGACCAGATAAGATATTCATAAAACAGCTGATATTCTGTCTCTTCTTACCGTGATTCACTTGTCCTTATGAAGATGAAGCTTGGTTTTCTTTTCTTCATCCTTGTGCAGCTTAGCATATTTTCTCCAAVCGGTAAGGAAACTGTTTTAGTATTCTAAAGAAACTATACAAGAAGCTTTGAACTATATCTGAATCATGCTTTGTTTGTTTCCGGGTGATTCTTTCTCTTAATGCAACAGAAAAAGGAAGCGAGAAATATGTAGCAAATAAACTACTATGATTAAAACTTAGAAGATCCTAAAAATATGGCCAATTGTACTTGCATCATTTGACTTTTGACAGAAACTAAACATTGCTTCATTCTTCAAGAACTTACATTGAAATAACAGTTGTAGAGAACCCTTATTAAGCAGACACTATCTACGATCCCGAACATTTTCCCCGGCCGTATTTACTGTAAAACGAATCTCTATCCAGCGGACAACTGTAGAAAGTGGACGGACACGGACACTAACGAGTCCATTTGGTAATTAACAAAGAAATGCGAAGAACCTTTATTGAACGAATTCCAAATATTGCGGAATGATGACAGTTAACTCACACTGTGTTTAGGTTTAACAAAACACATCTGAATAGATTTTTCCAAGGTTCCTTCTTTAAATTCGCTTCTTTGCCAATTATCGTAATTGTTGTACGGTTAAAAGTTAGCTATTGACAGATATATTCCGTGAGTTAAGCAAATATCTGTCAAGCGGACACCCCCTAGTAAGCGGTCTTAAGAATGTCCACTAAATAGAGGTAGCACCGTATTTGTGGATACCAGGTCTACTAAATAGAATGTAATACCTTGAGTCCGCATAACTCGTCAGCGAACTCAGAAATAACAGACAGGGAACGGAAGATACCACTGCATTGTGTGTAGGCTATCTGGGTAGGAATATCTATTGCAAAACCCTTGTTTTATGAGAGAGAAAATTAATGTTTTTAC